TTTTGGACCTCCTCTAGCACGGTTATAGAATACGGCGGATCATTGTAACCATGGTTACCTAAAAAACAAACAAGACATCAAACCGCGCATCTCAAATCTAGCACCGTCCTCATTGTCAAAACGTAACAAAGGTGCAACCGTAAAAACCTGAGACCGTTTGTAACAGCCGCAATGTTGTAACCGCCTCTCGCGTCGGCCTGTCCCCCCCCCCCCCCCCCCCCACTAAAGCCCGGCCCGTCAACGATTTGATTCCCTTTTAATGACGCAACCGTCGAGAGACGTGCTCTATCTGCCGCACCAGGTGAAGAATGGAATGGCCCTCCAACACTGCCGAGCGATGACAGCTCTCACGTGTGATCGTTTTTAGCGTGATGAGAGCTCACTCTTTGAGCTTTTTACAGGCGAATAAATGGCCCGACTTTGATGGCCCGACTTTGATGGCCCGACTTTGATGATATACTTAAACATACTGTCACACACCACCTACCAACACCTCACAAATAAATGGCCCGACTTTAATAACATACAGCACACACCATCCACTAATACCTCAAATATAAATCACATGATTTTGATACTATATTTAACCATATTGTCACACACCGTCTACCAACATCTTTACAAATAAAAGACCTAACTTTGAAGACATTTTAAACATAATAAAACATGACCTATGGATCTAAATATCACTAAAGTCAAACGTTATTAGTTCGACAAAAAAAATAAAAATAAACCGGGAGTGATCTCCCCTAAACTTTCTCGAATATTCTTATGTAAGACTACGGGGGATGGCAACTCGGGAAATAGACAGATTTTTTATCCATTTTTAATTACTTAAACTTTTTAAAATCGAATAGAATCTCGTAAAAAAAAAAGAATTGCGCACCAAGTGAACCCCAAACAATATGTGTATAATAGTGCGGAATATTATTAATACTTTATACATTCACTTGCATTTTTTGAGAAATCGGAAATAGCGCAAATTACTACTTCCGGTTAACTGAAATTACTCGAAATTTGATAGAAGGCAGAGAATTAGATCTTTTACTTACATGTGAAATTTCATTTAACTATCTGAAACAGTACTCTTCTTCTTTCCTCTTCTTTGTTCTTAATTATTAGTGTTGAATGGGATCGAGATTTATCTGCCAGTGGGTTTGAACTCGAGACTTTGTTCGAATTTATCAACCATGAGCTTTTTGCCGACTCGACCACGCCTCCAACAAAATTAAGCTGTGCGTGTCAACTGGTTATGCGCCATTGAGGCCATTGACTCCGATTTCAGCCTGCTTTTCTTTTTGGGTTTGCTTCCATAGCCTTTGTCCAACCAAGAACAAACTACAAGGCAGCAGTTGTTTAATTTTGGAGTTGTCTCTCCTAGAAGAGTGACTGTCCCCAGCTAACGAGCCTCATCTGCCTGAGGGTTCGAAACAGTACTCAAGTTAAAGGATTTCAAAAAATTGAAAGTAGAATAAGTTAAACTTCCGGTTATCGAAAATCGCTGAAAAACTACCAATTCTTATATAATATTTATATATGAAATTTCATTAACACGATAACAATACTTCTTTACTTCGTATACCAGGAAGTAAAAAATGCATTGGAAAGTAAAACTCGATAAGTCCTGAAAATATGTGATCATATGTAAACGTTGGTATTTTCGTTAGCATTCTTTGCTATAGGCTAAAAGTAAGGATTAGATTTGATGCCAAAACTAGGATTACCGTTGACTATTCTACAATTACTACTTGTTCATATTTTGAAGAACTGTTTTTTTTTATTATAACAAATACATGCGAACACATGTGTAACATGTTGAAATAGTATTTCTCGTCATACTCAGAGTTTCTTCCAGGGGGGGGGGGGGGGGGGCGGAAGAAAAGTCTACCCCCCCCCCCCCCCCGGAAAAAAAGTCTGGAAGAAACACTGGTGATACTCTTGTAGTGTCGTATTGTCACCTTAAGACTGCCAACATCTCAAACTACGGCGTTGTCTACATCTAAACTGCAGCCCTTTACCTTGTTAAAATTACACGATCCTACCTTACATCTAGGTTCTACAAAAGCTTTGGTTAACTGATGACTGTTACGCATGAAAGTGTTTTGGTGTTATGAAAGTGTTTTGGTGCTTTGAAAGTATTTTGGTGCCATGAAAGTGTTTTGGTGCTATGAAAGTGTTTTGGTGCTATGAAAGTGTTTTGGTGCTATGAAAGTCTTTTGGTGCTATGAAAGTATTTTGGTGCTATGAAAGTGTTTTGGTGTTATGAAAGTATTTTGGTGTTATGAAAGTGTTTGGTGCTATGAAAGTTTTTTGGTGCTATGAAAGTGTTTTGGTACTATGAAAGTGTTTTGGTGCTATGAAAGTGTTTTGGTGCTATGAAAGTGTTTTGGTGTTATGAAAGTGTTTTGGTGTTATGAAAGTGTTTTGGTGCTATGAAAGTGTTTTGGTGCTATGAAAGTGTTTTGGTGTTATGAAAGTCTTTTGGTGTTATGAAAGTCTTTTGGTTTTATGAAAGTGACTAATTAAATTAAATTCAAGTAGCAACGAGATGTAGCTGGCTGATGACCATACAATACATGATATCCAAAATAACACAATTTCCATTAATACAACACGTTGTGGGATGCTTCATTTTGGATTCTCTAATTATATTCTTACTATTTTTACGTCGTTTTTTGGGGTTGTGTTGGAAATTTTCTCAAAGAATAAGTGTTTTTATTTTAAATCATGTATGTGTATAGATTGATAGATACATATATACAACTTAACCCGTGAATACATCCCATTTAGATCTACGGGGTAACTAAATAGTTCCGTCCCTACATGACAACGACATCTCGAAATTTAACACGGAAAAAAAAACACGGAACGAATTTGTTTTTGTGTTGATGTCCGCCACCGGACAATTAGTTACGAGAAAGTGGGCGTGTATGTTATTAACGTCCCGTCCTTCTCGTGTGTGTCTGCAAACACGACCCGGGTCACGTGGTCTAATGGCCCCGGCCCCGGGATGGTCGGAGCTGTCACCCGCGGATCACTTTAAATTAGATGCGTCAAGTCCTAACTAAAGAAATATCCGCCTCTCTCCAAGGTGGCCTGGGAACGCTCTCCTGGCCCAACTTTTCTGGCCATCTTAAGTTCCCTTGACCCCCGCGTAGAAGTCTGCCAAAGATCCCCACCCCTGCACATCCCGGAGCCGCCCCTGTCAAAGTGTGTCCGTTTTCTTATTAACCCTCTTGTAGTAGGTCGGAGCCGGAAAGTTTGAAGCGGGCCGGCAGTGTGTGAGAACGGCAAGTGATTGAAGCGGCTCGCCTTGCCGGCTTTATCTGGCTGAATCTCGGCGAGCCACCGACAGACGAGGAAACGTACACGAGTTCATTTGCAGACCTGGCGAGAGAGGTCTGGAACACACACAACGCTGGCTAGGTTTTAAACGAACCAATTTCAGCCTAATTGTTTTTTCCATTACTTGCTCTAACGTCATTTGGGGACTCCGGCTAGCCCGGGCAGACGATGGGCCGAGAGTCGAAAGAAGTAGTTTTAGGCATAGCAGACGATGAGCTAAGTGTCGGAAGTAGTGGTTTTAAATTTGTGTAAAGACACACACATCATCATCATCAATGCCATTATCAATTCATTTCATACGAACTTTTTAACATACTTGTATGTAATTTTGTGGTAATACCAACATGTCACCATACAATGAGTAATAGTATTGGCTACAAACTGCAGCATGTGCTAGAGTGACGGATAATTTAGAAAAATGAATGTCTGGCTGACTAAATGGCTAAAGAAAGGTTATTCTAAGTGTATTGGTAACTTGAAGCCATACACATATTTTAAGGTTCACTGTACACTAAATAAGCAATGCTGAATGCGAATAACAACTGTTAGGAAAACATCTTGTGGGAAAAGTCGTAAGCGTCCTTCCAGAGAAACACAAAATATGTACCATTTGGTTCAGAAAATTTCAGCGAACTATAGGGATCTTGTTCAGGAAAATAAGTTACATTTGTTTTGAAATCAATATCAGCATTTAACAAATGAAGGCATCAATGATTTAAATATTTGCACAAACCAACTGTGATTAGATAATTTCTATACACAAAAAAAAAAAAAACAGAATAAAAATATAACATCATTTTGTATTGAAATCTACTCATTTAGTTTGATTGTTTTAGTATGTCGCTGTTAGGATTTAGTGTAGGGTCAACTTGTAATCGAGCACTCCTTGTAATCGACCTGGGTTTAATTACTTACTACAGTTTGTCATTATTTGGTGGTCTTGGTGTGTGTAAGGGGAGGGGTAACATACACTAAGCTAATTAACAAGTAGGGGTGGGGATAATTAGCCTAAGGATATTGGGGGGGGGAAGGGTATTAGACTTCGGCGTGACTCAAAGGTGGGATGCCCGGTGTTGGTAGATGATATAAGGGGGGGGGGGGGGAGCCCCGCTCTGTACTCCCCCCCCCCCCCATCCCACAGTCTAAACCGGCATGAAGTCTAGGCTGGCATGAAGTCTATGCCGGCATGGTCTAGGCCGGCATGAAGTCTGGGCCGGCATGAAGTCTGGGCCGGCATGGTCTAGGCCGGCATGAAGTCTGGGCCGGCATGGTCTAGGCCGGCATGAAGTCTATGCCGGCATGAAGTCTGGGCCGGCATGGTCTAGGCCGGCATGAAGTCTGGGCCGGCATGGTCTTGGCCGGCATGAAGTCTGGGCCGGCATGGTCTAGGCCGGCATGAAGTCTGGGCCGGCATGGTCTAGGCCGGCATGAAGTCTGGGCCGGCATGGTCTAGGCCGGCATGAAGTCTGGGCCGGCATGGTCTAGGCCGGCATGAAGTCTGGGCCGGCATGGTCTAGGCCGGCATGAAGTCTGGGCCGGCATGGTCTAGGCCGGCATGAAGTCTGGGCCGGCATGGTCTAGGCCGGCATGAAGTCTATGCCGGCATGAAGTCGTGGCCGACATGAAGTCTGGGCCGGCATGAAGTCATGGCCGGCATGAAGTTTGTGCCGGCTTGAAGTCAAGCACACTTTGAACGCGATACGTTCTGTTCTCAGTCCTGACACCACCCACCACCTCTGTGATGACACCTGTATTCCCATGACACCTGCAACCAGGTGTACACCTACACTGCAGCTATTTAACAGGTGATCATTACACCATTTAAAAAAAACTAAACGCAATGACACTGAGCCCATTGCATTTTTTTTATGTTTCGAAATTTCGAAGCCCACAACAACCAGTCTTCGTATGCTAGGCTTAAACTAGCCTCACATATCTTTGTATTTTTTTACTCCGCTACTTGGAGCATGGGTCGGCCCACAGACCTGAGACCCTGACACTGGGAAGGTTCTTATAAATCCATCCATCACGGGCCGTGTTTAATTAAAGCCAGCAAATAGGACGGGATTCTCGCCCTAATCAAATTGTCGCGAGAATTAGCAATGACACTTGTTTCCCTTGTAATGCTAAGATTCCGACCAATCATTTCTTGAACGGCTAAGTTCTCGACCAATCGTTGTAGAGGGTTGTGTTATCCCACATAAGACCGGGGTTCTACCTGGCTATTGTGATTTGAATTTAAAAAACGAACTATTAATTTATTTTGTTTTGTTTTCCATCGTGACACTGACAGACGTTGGCTTAACCGTTGTTGATTGCGCATACACCATCGCGCATTCGTGTTTACGCAAGCGTTTTGCGCATACTTACAAAGTTCGTGAAAACAAAGATTTTGTGTTGGTGAGTTGTATAAAATTGTACCTGGGTCACAATGCCTACATAATGTTTTGTGTTTAATTTTTTAGAGATTTAAACCACCAACAAGAACAATAACAAAACTACAGCAAATCCTAGAAAAACAGAAACACCAAGAACAAAAACAACAGCTTTAAAATATAATTCATACTCTACTTTAAAATTGTGTGAAAATAAAAACACAATTTATAACTGCGTGAAAATAAAAACAAAATTACCACAATGTTTACAGGAAAGAAAAAAATCTAAATTTTCTATTTTAATTCTTAAAAGTATTCAGCATTTAATTTTATTTATAAACTAAAATTCCATTTTAAAAAAGACAATTTATCGCAGTTTGATTAGGTTTCGATCTTTGTACTTTCACCTCACTACGCATTCCTCTACCATAACGGCAAGACTGTTGGTGAACAAAGGGCCATCATCAGGTAGACTAAGTGAGCTGCACAGCTTCAAAGGGAAATGTGAGGTGATGGATTATTTCCCTTATCAATGCACCGCGACTAGTCATTGATTGAAAGGGTTACATCAACTACACTCAGCGGGGACTGGGATCAGGGGGGACTGGGATCAGTGGGGACTGGGATCAGGGGGGACTGGGATCAGTGGGGACTGGGATCAGGGGGGACTGGGATCAGCGGGGACTGGGATCAGTGGGGACTGGGATCAGTGGGGACTGGGATCAGGGGGGACTGGGATCAGTGGGGACTGGGATCAGCGGGGACTGGGATCAGTGGGGACTGGGATCAGTGGGGACTGGGATCAGTGGGATCAGTGGGATCAGCGGGGACTGGGATCAGCGGGGACTGGGATCAGTGGGGACTGGGATCAGTGGGGACTGGGATCAGTGGGGAGTGGGATCAGTGGGGACTGGGATCAGCGGGGACTGGGATCATTGGGGACTGGGATCAGTGGGGACTGGGATCAGCGGGGACTGGGATCAGTGGGATCAGGGGGGACTGGGATCATTGGGGACTGGGATCAGTGGGGACTGGGATCAGCGGGGACTGGGATCAGTGGGGACTGGGATCAGTGGGGTCAGTGAGGACTGGGATCAGCGGGGACTGGGATCAGTGGGGACTGGGATCAGCGGGGACTGGGATCAGTGGGATCAGGGGGGACTGGGATCAGCGGGGACTGGGATCAGTGGGGACTGGGATCAGTGGGGTCTGGGATCAGTGGGATCAGGGGGGACTGGGATCAGAGGGGATTGGGATCAGCGGGGACTGGGATCAGCGGGGACTGGGATCAGTGGGGACTGGGATCAGAGGGGATTGGGATCAGCGGGGACTGGGATCAGTGGGGACTGGGATCAGCGGGACTGGGATCAGCGGGGACTGGGATCAGCGGGGACTGGGATCAGTGGGGACTGGGATCAGCGGGGACTGGGATCAGTGGGATCAGGGGGGACTGGGATCATTGGGGACTGGGATCAGTGGGGACTGGGATCAGCGGGACTGGGATCAGCGGGGACTGGGATCAGTGGGGTCAGTGAGGACTGGGATCAGCGGGGACTGGGATCAGTGGGATCAGGGGGGACTGGGATCAGGGGGGACTGGGATCAGTGGGATCAGGGGGGACTGGGATCAGGTGGGACTGGGATCAGTGGGATCAGGGGGGACTGGGATCAGGGGGGACTGGGATCAGGGGGGACTGGGATCAGTGGGATCAGGGGGGACTGGGATCAGGGGGGACTGGGATCAGGGGGGACTGGGATCAGTGGGATCAGGGGGGACTGGGATCAGGGGGGACTGGGATCAGTGGGATCAGTGGGATCAGCGGGGACTGGGATCAGGGGGGACTTGGATCAGCGGGGACTGGGACCAAGACAGGAAAATGTTGCCAGATTTTTGTCCCCTGTCTCCCTAGAGAATCTGTTGTTGGTCTTCCGTGCAGCGAGTACCAAGTGAGGGCCGAAATTGCTTCTCGTCTGCTTCGAGTTTTGTCGAGTTCTGCATAAAATTAAAATTTTCTTCCATTTACAACTTTTTATTTGGTCTCAGCATCTTTACAAAAATAATGAAAACAAGATGGAAAAAGAAGAAAAAATTGAATAGTGTATTCGCGTAGAAAATGAACTTTAGTACTTTGAAAAGAATTTAATTTCGGGAGTTAAAAGTGATTTAGGTTGTGGGAAATTGCTAGTTTATTCAATTTTTTCTCTATTTAAATATTCATTTGAACAAGTAACTTCAGTTGCCTTGTGAAATAATTTTTTTTTCTGGAACTTTTGACAAGTTTTGCCTGATAACAATGTGGTTTAATTTTTTTTTTAATATTTGACCGAAAAGATAATACCATTTTGTCAAAAAATAATGGTGTTGACAAAGAAAATAAAAGAAGTATTTAGCAGTAATAATCTGGTGTCAATTGTATCGTTAAAAAAGACGTATTTAGTATAGAAAATTAATTTCGATTATTGACTAAGAAAACAAAAAATATTTTACAATTCAAGTTGGCGAACAAAATAAAAGATGCATTTTGCAATAAATATTTAATGACCATTGTGTACTGAGAAAACAAAGAGGTAGTTCGCACATATTGTTTCAAATGTTGGCCAAGAAAATCTTTTGAGAATATTAAATTTGACAAAAGTTTAAATAAAGACTGATCAAACTAGATCTCTGTCAGATAAAAAAAAACGTGTGTCATTAATACCAACGTGTATTGAAATTAAAATCCCGTAAGTTTTTGTTTGTTTTCCAACATTTCTACATCTTTGTTTATATTTCGAACCTTTGATTGACTTATTTCAATCAATTATATTTTGTTGGAATAATTCGGAATTAATGTCTATTAAGTGCTAATATTTGAAACGTGTTTTGTTTATGTTTACACTAGTTTTGTTTTAAATTTTTTACAAGTATCACAAGTATCTAAATTCTCTACAGTGTTTTTGTTTTTATTTAATTAGGTAAAATGGAATTTTTAAGGTGTGTGGGGGGTGGGGGCTACTAATTTAAATGTGAATTGCCGTTGCCCCGGGCTTCCCGTGAAGTCTCGTGAAATAACGGTCAATCGTGACTCGATTGTTCTGCGAGACAAGACCAATGTCTTGTATTGCTTCCGGTCAATTGGTCAATTTGTGGGGTCACCTATCAGCGACTGAGACCGTACATGGCACCTTGTCTATCTGTTGGGTAATTGGAAGACGCAGACAATCGTTTAGGAAAACATAAAAGTTGTGTGAAAAGTTTGGCTATAACTTTTATAAAGTAACACGAAAGAAAATTGGCCGAAAAAAATATGCCGCGGCATGAGTCATGGATTAAAGTATTTTTAAATTATCAAAATTACACTTGTTGCTGCAAGAATGGTAGGAGACTGCCGAGACGAGAGATACATTATTGCAGGGACAGAGGAGTTTGCTAAACTACACTGCAATGCACTATATTTAATATGGACGAGCAAGTTACCATCCAATGGAAGAAAAAGGTTTTTTTTTTTTTTTTTACAATTTTAATAAATTGCAGGGGGTGCGTTGTGTTAAGAGTTTGGGTTACTCGTGTTCTGTCAAAAGCAAAATTAATTGCATTGAGATTTGAACTATAATAATTTAGTTGATAAACAGGTACAAATACGTCAGGTATCTAACTTCTGCTGACGACCTTCACGAGAAAGGGAGACGATAAAGTATAACTCTGCTACAAGGGAGACAATAATATATGCATCTACTACGATGGACGACAATAAAAACATGTATCTGAGCCAGGGGAAGTAATAACATATATGAATCGGCTACAGGGGAGACAATAAAATATATTATCTGCTACAGGGGAGGCGATCGTGTCCAGCTAAAAACATCAAAGAGCGAGTAAGGTCTACGGTAGGTGTGGAGGGTGGTGTCGTAGACTCGTGCTAGGCTTAGACAGATTTTTTTCTCTGTTTGTTTAAAGCAAGGATCCATCAGTGCGGACGTCGATTTGTGTGAGTTTTGGTGAAAAAAACAAAAACAAATAAAAATAAAAATTGAATTGATGTAAAAATTAAAGCAACAAAACAAGCCGTTGTAAAACCTCGTAGCAAATTTTTTCAGGAATAAAATTAGGAATTGATTAATTTTCAGACAGACAGACATATTAAAATCACACCTTGTTGTCATATATGGTTGTTTTTATCGTAGTGGAGGTAACTCATTCGTTCACAACCAATAGACTTAGTCTGCTAGTCTGTCAAATAAACCAATTCAAATTAAACTATAACTTTTTTTCTAAAAACTATACACTTACGAAAACCGTTATCAGTTGCAAGACTTTTTATTTTCATATGTACATACTTATGAGCAGTTTAAGTAACGGCCAATATGAAAAAGGCCTCCGTGTCTACTGCTGTTACCGTTATTGAATACATTGAAAAAAAAATGTCCATTCTACTGCCACAAAGATCTCCTTCCCCCCCTCACACACACACATCCATTACACTACCCGTAGATTTACGGATCATGTCTACCGGTGTAACAAGTTGCCGAAATTCGCAAGAGATTCCAGAAAAAAAAGAGATTCGAATAGCCGTGTTGGAACGTGATCCCAACTGTTACTTTTTAGTATGGCGTTAATCTAAAGATTTAAATCTCAAGGCGTTAATCTTCTATTATGAAGCAAATCTTGAGCATACATCTATTGTTTACCACATGTGCTAATTTTTTAAAACAACGTCTTCACTTTAATTTCAAACCATCGAACTTAATTACAGTAAGAAAATATTGCAACATTTTATTATCGATTCCAACAACAAATAGTTTCCAATAATTAAATTTAAAAAATATTTCAGCATACATAAATGCCTGGAGATGATTGGTGCATGAAATACAACCTCGAGTGAGAGTAGCCTACCCATGGCAGCCATAAATTCCACTTCCTTCTCGTATTTGTCATGACCGGCTCTGCCAGGCTCTTGTGATTACCGGATTTGTTCTCCATTCCAAACAGTTTACTAGACGTCTCAGGAAAAAAAATTGTAGAAAAAAAAACGCCCTTAGACTCGACTCTGTCCAAACTCTAAAATCCCTCCCCTGCTCCCTCCCTCCCTCCCTCTCTCCCCTCCCTCATATGTGAACCCAGCCGACAAGGTGTTTAGAAAAGCACCCCAAGAACTGAAAGAATAATTATTTACTAGCTAAGACGGGGGCTGTTTTATTTCAAAATGCCGGCTGGGCCCGGGTTTTTCCGGTCTCGTCACTGAAGTCAGCTGAAGTACCGCTAAACCTCGAGCTTTTCAAACCCTCGGCGAGAGGGGGTATCAGATAAATGAGTGCATTATCACGGTGCAATAAACCACGATTTAATAACCCGAGCACGCGACTATTTTCTATCGTGTTGTGCGTGTACCTTTTAACATGAGGCTAACAAGAGGGGGGGGGATTTATGGCAGCCGTCGCATTTAGATTTGTCAAGATGTTGTTTATCTGGTCAAATCATCACTGGATTTATTTACACGGCGGCCAAGGTGTAAGACAGGTGTGTAAATCTTCGACGTACGAGCTCACTTTTTTTTCTGGTGCCAGATGTGAGCCCGGGGGCAAGTAAACCGCTACCTTATCCCGAACGTGGTGGCTCCCCCAGCTCACATTGGCCCCTTCCGTGGCTCCGGGGCCTGCATCATCTTGGGCCTACTGCTGGCTCCGTTTATTTATACCCTGCGATGCTGTCTGCGGCTTTTGTAGCGGGCTTTTGTTTGATAATACCTAGTGGTGGTCCGTACTTGGACCCCATATTGGAGGGGGAATCTGGGAAAAGATGGGAAGCTCTGTCATGTTGTCACGTAGTGCGTTATGGGTTATGGGTAAGGTTAGGTTTCAACAAGTTGCAAAGTTCTGACTAGAAAAATCATGTTGTGCCATACAATAAAATCATTGTTGCTCAATGTGTCCGTATGTATATATGTATATATAAAATTATATATATATATATATATATATATATATATATATATATATATATATATATATATATATATATATATATATAATGTATTAGTATACGAACATTCCGACAATCTTTTACTGAATACAATATAAGCAGCATACAAGCAAGCATGTGCTTTAAGTTTAATATAATTATCAATTATTTTGCATCGTTTATATGAGGCTTATCAACGAAATCTAATTAGAAATCTATATTATCAACTAAATTTTGATAATCTGGCTTTCAATGGACAGTTTTAATAGAAAAAGTTATAAACTCCCCGACATAAACTCCGTCTAGTAGATGTTCCGTGCTGTTGACTAGCGGGCACTCGTCGTCCTGCTTCTAGCAGATATAAGAGCATTCGTTGTACTCCCTGTAGCATCTTCTTCTTCTTCTTCTTCGTTCTTAATTATTAGTGTTGAAGCGGATCGAGATTTATCTGCCGGTGGGTTTTTTAACTCGAAACTTTTTTTTCGAATTTATCAACCATGAGCTTTTTTGCCGACTCGACCACGCCTCCAACTCAATTAAGCGTTACGTGTCAACTGGTTATGCGCCATTGAGGCCATTGACTCCGATTTCAGCCTGCTTTTCTTTTTGGATTTGCTTCCATAGCCTTTGTCCAACCAAGAACAAACTACAAGGCAGTAGTTGTTTAATTTTGGAGTTGTCTCTCCTAGAAGAGTGGCTGTCCCCAGCTAACGAGCCTCATCTGCCCGAGGGTTCGAACTCGAGACTTTTCGGTTTAGCAACCATGAGCTTTACCGACTCGACCACGCCGACCCCCTCCTGTAGCATAAAGGCGTTGACTACTCGACCGCTGTTGTCTTGGGCTCTCTGTAGATGCTTCAACAACTTCCGTTAAGTTACATGGGTGAGGGTATGGGGGAATCGGGGAGAGGCGTCTGAGGGGTTATAGGTACGGGGATGAGGGGATATAGGTTCAGGGTAAGGGGTGGGGGT